GTCCACACCAACACAATGCTTTGGCCACCTCCAGTCGGAATTCTCGTAACTTCATCATTTTTGTGTTTTCCCTCTGCGTCTCTACTCTTTTATATAAAAGCCAGCTATTTATCAGCATCACATCTAGCAAATGATAGAATATTCTCATGTACCACTTTCTTGTACGCATTTTTATTTTGTGTTTTCCTATGAAAGAGTCAAGGAGATCTACTCCGCCCATATGCCGATTGTAATGTCCAATAATATTTGGGGCGTTGACTTCTGTGTATTGTTTACGTTTCTTACAGAAACGTTTTACTTTATATTTAGGTTGTTCACCGACAAAAGAAGATGTGAGAACAACAGATTAGCTGTCTAGCCACAGCACTGCTGAGACTGGTACTGCATCAACAGTAGCCACCCATCCTTCTGAATAGCCGCGCCTTTTAGCGGCCGTCAATTCTTTTTGAGATGGCATTTTCAAAGTCATCCCCATACGACCCTTGTTCACGGTGCCTAATGTATGAATGCCTTTTTTAGCCAAGTAAGAAATCAATTCAGGAGACGTGTAATAATTATCGAAAAAGATCTTATAATTTTGATATCTTGGAATACTGCGACATAGGCGTACAACAATGTTGCTACTCGCTCCTAAATCACATTCATCGGGCAGCCTCAACTCAGGATCATTTTCTGCGCCGGAGTAGATTTCAATGTCATAAGCAAAACCTTTATCATCAAACAACACCAACAACTTGTATTCCCACTTACGAGGTTTGTTCGGGAGATACTGGCGGAGGAAGTTGCAGGCTTTGGTAGCGCACATTTGCTCATCCACCGAAAGTGTCTCTCGTTTCGGCACAGCTTGACATTTCTTTCTCAATGTTTCCAATAAGGGTCTAATACGGAAAAGTCTGTCGTGTCCTGGCTCTCCTCTAGGTTTGTAATTTATGTTGTCATTGAAATGTATGCCACTTCGTAATTTTTCAAAGTTACCAAGTGTCATCGTTTCAATTATAAGTGGTATACCTAATATAGAATTCCACAACATGCGAATGTTTGGCTGTGGCTCCAGTCCTAACAAGAGACAGATGCCTAAATATTTTTTGAGTTCCGTCTTTGTAACCAAAACTGGCTTTGAGCAATCCTTCTGTATGCTGTATTTAGTAGATTCTTCAGCAATGTGATCCAACAAATCGTCGTCAAAAAAGTGCAAAAAGTACTGCAAAGGTGTTTCAAATGTAGTATATGGTTGTTCCAACACGTCAACGCCAGTAAATGTGGTATCAGGTGGCTGAAAGTCCATCTTCCGCCATATGTATTCTCTCTTAGGTTTTGGACTGGCAGGCCTGACAGGCTGTGGGGAAGGTGAAATGATGCGGAGAGTAGGTACTGCTTGAGGTCGTGATCTAGAATTTACTTGCCTGGAAGTACTAGGTTGTGATGCAACGTTGGCTGTGTTAGAAGAACTGCTTGTTGGCTGAATCACTAACATACTACTGCTTGACCTTGGACTAGGTATGCTCACGTTCTCATCGAAGAAATCATCCTGTAGTACTTCAGGGCACGTCTCCATTTCGTTAAACATCAAATCCTGGATTCTGATCAAGTCGTCATCGCTGTCCTCATCAGACAGTTCCAGGTCATCTTCACTACCGGAAGGAATTTCGAGAAACTGTTGAATATCATCAGAATTCAAATTTTTCCTTTGGCTCATCTAGAAACAATACAAATATTTTGAAGACACTTATTGCATCGTGTGCCACATCTGTCATGTACAAAAATGTCGTATTTCTATGCACTATTTATTTATGAAATTACAAATAACTAAAAAAATAACAAATAGATACATAAACTTACCTCTACAAATTATTTCGTATACAAACTATTCAAATTTATCAGTTTTTTTGTTTTTTTCTTGCGCAACCTGTCGATCACTTTCAAAATACCGTTGGTTTTGAACAAAATGTAAACAAACATTCATTCAGACATCTAACCAAAAATTTTAGTACTAAATTTGATTGACCATTCCTTTATAGTTAGTTTACTTTTGACTAGATGACACTACTTATTTCGAGTACGGAAATATAGAGGTTTTTTAGGTATGTGCCACATGTGTCCCACTATGCGCTGTAGGGATATACCTGCACCCAATGATATTATAACCTTTTTACTTATAGTATCATTGCCTGCACCTCGCTGAACTGCGATGCTCCTCTCTCGCCCCCTTTACCACATTGCGCTCGCAACGATCGCGTATGGCTACGGTTAGAATCTTGTTTATAGTGATAATGACTATAGTATATTACTAGGCATTATCACTATATATAGTTGGCAATTAATAATTGCATTTTTATTATCATCATCACTGTCACTTATGTCGCTAAATAAATAATTTAGTAAACAAAAACCATAAATAGGATCTAATCTTGTATTCATTTATTAATTAATATAATAATAAATTCACAAAATCCTTCAATCTAAACCTCATACACATACAACATTTAATAAAACCCTGTGGTTCCCGTTATCAGAATCACTATTCAAGCATATAAAAATAATTTTATTTCTCAAAAAAAAAAACAAACATTTGAAAAAATGAATTTTAATTAAAAAAAATTAATTTGCAAATTATGTGTGGCTTTATTATCTCTGCATAGGCCGAGGAGTAAGAGGATTGTCAGACCCCGCATTACTGATACACTTGTGAGTTAGAGGAAATAAAACCACATGAAATTAGCAAATTATTATTTTATAATTAAATTAAAAAAAATTGTGTTCGAGTTTTCTAAAAAAAATATTTTTATATGTTTGAATACTGATTCTGATAACGCAGTTAATGGGAACCATAGGGTTTTTTGTTACATGTATATCCAGCACTCGGGTAAAAAATAATGATATTTCTAGAGAAGCTAGAGATTGAATCTGACGTCATCAAGCGAAGTGCATAGATAACAGGCCGCCGTATGGTTGGTTCCTATGCGCATATTGTATGGTATTTAGTGTATGCTAGACACGAAGGTTTTACTAAACCAGCATTGTTTTGAAACAGTATCATTCTAAATAATGATGCTGTTTGAAAAAATTGCTGGTTATTGTAAAATAAATACAATAAATGACGAAACCTACAACGAATTTATTTACCAAGATAGTAGACATAATAATATATTTATTAATAATTATAATAATGAATAATAATACCTACTACTTATGTTAAAATAGGAAATTGTCTCAGAGTTGAAATATATAGAAATACTTGACAATAAACACATTAAAAATAATACCTTTCAAGGGAGGATCACTCCGATCAGACAACAAATTGGGACTAGCGCAATGGTTATTCTTATTATCACAAATAGTCCTTTCCAACGATATACCTATCATGTTAATCTCAATTGGAGCCGGGACCAGGTTCCATACATAGGTAAGTACCCATCACCATCATCATCCTCCCACGCTTTGGGCTTTGTATAGAATGAAAATTTGTTTGTTTTTACATGGTTTTTGGTAATAAGTAATAACTCACACTTTATATTTCATTTTCAGTTACTGTTAACTACTTTATTTCATACCTGAACGATACAGTTCCTACTATTTGAAATTAATAAATTGAATATAAATTGTTACGAGACGAAATATAAGCAAATAAATTTTAAAAACTGTGTAATTACTACTTACGTTTTATAAAAAACTAACAGCAAACTTTTTTATGGTAGCCTCTTGCACACACGCCGACTCGACCCACTCGACCACAGAACACTTACTCCGACTCGACTCGCACGCCGAAGGAATATCATAGATAAATAAATATGTAAGGAATATCCGTATATATTACTATACTCTTTGGAAATAGGATTAAAAACATAGATTACTGACCTCCGATAGGAGTAATAGTGTTCTGTGTTAGGCCTCATTCGCACGAGAGCTAAAAAAACGTTGCGTCAAAACTCGGCGTTGGCGCTTTTAAAACGTTTACGATGTGATTGTTCATACGAACGCTTTAAAATCACTCTTGTTTCGGCTTTCGCTTCATAAGATGTAAAAATGGTTTCTACTAAATTACTAGCAATAGCAATTTGTGCCGCTAGACGGCGAAAAAAAAAACAAAAGGCATTCTGGGTACATCCTCTGAATGATCAGAGATACTTAAAAAGACAGTTTGTGACAATATACGAAGAGTTGAGGCAATACCCGGCTAAATTTTTCAATTATTTTCGAATGTCTATAACAACGTTTGACGAATTGTTGGAAATAGTGAGGCCTCAAATAACACTTCAAGATACTAACATGCGTTTGTCGATACCACCTGTACAACGACTGGCTGTTACACTGAGGTAAGTAAAACAAAAATAACAAAATTACAAAGCAATTTTTATTTAAGTAATAAAAGACATATTTATTAATTTGAACAATCATTCGGAGACAAGTCTTCTGGTGAATTTATATTATTAATCAATGGGCTTTGAGTAGTTGTTGAGCTTGACAGGTCAGTATCCGATGGAGAGGGCAAATATTTGGGTTGAAAGTCGTAAGAAAGCTCTGAGCAGATTGTGGCCTAGAACTTTGTGCAAAATTAGCGGGGCGGTATTGACGATTCTCTAAAATCTTAATAACTTTTGATGGATGTTCGGGATCGGATGAGGGTTGATGCAAGGTCAGAGTTGATTGTGACTCTAAACGCTGCTGCTGATACATATTACTGGCTTGAGTGAACTTGTCTTGTCTGTCTTGTCTTGTTGAACAGTGTCTGTGAGTACTGCTTCTGCGGGGTCTGAGTATAAATGAACGGGGTGTCAGACTGTGAGTACTGCTGATACACATTACGAGTTTGAGCTGATGTTGGTTGTGAGTTGGTATGAGTTATGGGTGTTGGTTGAGGTGAAAAGTTAAAACTTTGGTGACTGAAATATGGCTCAATGTTTGTTCTGTTAAACGGTGTTTGGTTAGGCTGTCTGACTGGCTGGCTGTATGTATTTTGCGTCCTGTTTGTGAAAGTGCGAAGTACTTATAATATTTCTATTTTAGCTAACACCATCCATCTTTTTTAGTGATTGAACCAATGATAAACAGAATGTTTTATCCTCGTCCATTCCAGACTCATTTTTGATGGCCTTCAAAATTTCACTTTCAAAGGATGATGTAGTTTTCTTTTTCTTTTTTGGAGTCTCTGTAACATTACAAGTGGCAATCGAAGGTCCAGCGGGTGAATATTCAGTATTAAATGTTGATGGGCTTCCAGTATTTTGCTCTGGTACATTTGTGGGAATGCTGTAGTTTCCAGAAGTTTTTGCATCTTTGACGTGTGGAACTAAAAATAGTAATTCGTCGTAATATCTGTATATTTTTTTTCTCTTTTTTATACCTTGACCTGACGTAACATCTTTTGCGCTTGATATTCACGCCGGAAGTTGTCCCTTAAGTGTTTTCACTTTGCTTGTATTTCGTTGCCTGAAAAGTAAAAATCATTAATCTGCCATAAAATTTCATTTCTTACAGATTTATAGCATCAGGCTCAGTTTTCATGACTTACATTACCAGTTTTTACTTGGAGTGTCTACCATACATTACATTATTAAACAAGTCTACGACGCAATATGGAATTCTTTAAAACCTATGTATATGCCAGAAAAAACAAAGGAAGACTTTGAAAAAATATCAGAAGAGTTTTATCACCGCACTAATTTTCCCAATGTGATAGGGGCTGTCGATGGCAAACATATTGAAATAGCACAGCCCGATCAGAGCGGTTCATTGTACTATAATTATAAAAATTATTTTTCTATAATTTTAATGGCAATTTGTGATGCAAACTATTGTTTCACTTGCATTGAAGTAGGAGCATACGGCGGTTCTTCTGACTCAAACGTATTTAAAAATACAGCATTCAACTGGCAGTTAGAATCGGGCCGAATCGATTTACCAGAACCGAAAACGCTACCGAATGATCCGAGTGGGAAACCTATGCCGTTTGTTTTTATTGGCAACGAGGCTTTTGCCCTATCTGAACATGTTTTGCGACCATATCCGAGCCGCAACTTGACCGTGCAACAACGTGTTTATAATTATCGATTAACACGAGCACGAAGAATGATTGAATGCAGTTTTGGTATTCTATCAAACAAGTGGAGAATTTTAACACGAGCTATAGATCTTCAACCTGATCGAACTATATCAGTAGTTAAAGCATGTTGCGTTCTACACAATCTTGTAAGAACTAAAGATGGATTCCAATTTGATGATACTTTATTTGACACTACAATACAAGGTCTACAACCGACAGGTCTCAGAAGTAACCACACGGGTCTACAAATACGTGATTATTTTACTAAATATTTCACATCGCCACAAGGTTCTATTCCATGGCAATACCAAGTTATCAATAGACAGAACGGTGACTAAATATAAATAACTATATACCTACCTATCTATTTGATTATTTAAATAAATAAAGGTACATTATTTACTTACATCGACTATTTTTTTCATCATTGTTGAGGGTTTCCCAGTCCTCTGAGAGTTTTTTGGTTATGTCCTCCCAGGCATTATTCTTTATAATTTTATTTGAGTATTCTGGCAATGTCTTTGCATATAGAAACGGCCGAGCCTCCACCTCTATTATAAGCACTTCAGGATCTACAACCCACATTTCCAATTTCAAATGACGTAAACGTCCGACTGCTAAGCGAGAGCGCGGTACACTGAATGCAACGCCGGCGCTTTTTTAGCGCTCGTGTGAATAATAATAAGAAGTTTCATATGATCTATTCCTTTTAACGCCCAACGCCCAGCGTTGAAAATACAACACTGCTCGATAAAAAAGCGTCGCGTTTTAAAAGTGCTTATGTGTGAACATATACTTGGGAATGCATTTGTTCTATTTGAACGCTTTTTTAACGGACGTTAAAAAAGCTCTCGTGCAAATGAGGCCTTACTGACTATGTGATTAAAAAACTAGAATACATACAGTAATCTATGGAGAAAAATAAAGCATAGACAGTGTTGCCAACTCAGATTTTCAAAAAGGCGTAGTTAGTACTCTTATTAGTTTGTGGGCGTAGGCTAGATTAGAAAAATACGTATAGTCAACCAAATCAAAGATATACATTTTGATAGCTGTCAGACTTATTGAATCAAGCATGCCAAACAAAAAATGGGAACGTACAATATTCGATTCTTAAAAAAATCGATATCGATTATTTAGAGTTAGTAATCATTTACAGTTTGGTTTCAATAATTCCAGAATAAATTAAAAACAGATAATTTAAAACACAAGATTTATCAGTTTCTTTGTATTTGTTGTTACTGCTTATTTCTAAGGGCACAGTTATAAAAAATTAAAATTGAAACTAGATTAAAAATAAATGTATTCAATCACTTTCAGTACAACTAGTGGAGATGTCGTTGTTTATATTAAGTATTATTTGATTTTCAATAATGCAGTCAAAATTAATGTCTCTTTCAAAGTCATCCATAATCAATTTTTCTGCCACTTTTGTCCAATCATCCTTTGTAACATGCTTCAACGATTATATTTTTTTATATCATTGGGTGCCAAACGAGCACACAGTTCACCTGATGGTAAGTGAATGCTATGGCCCATAGACATACATATTTATCTTCAATTAAGAATCAAAATGCAAATGCGTTGTCACCTCAGAGGATTAAGATGGAATGCCTCGATTCCAGTAAAAAGGGTCTCCGGTTCTCTACACTCACTATACGAAACACTGCAGCATTACGCTGGTATTCTGTGAGAGCATGGTCCTACCTCGGTTGAGCCGACCTATACGTGCTACAACTATAATATAGATGTAGCGTGGCTCTACCACGTACAAAAAGTTAGTATAGTAAGTAAGAATATCTTCTTAGGTGGATAGAGTCCTATCTACGTAACCGATCTCAAGCTGTTGTAATAGCTGGACATCGCTCTGATTTTGTGGATGTCCCATCTGGAGTCCCTCAAGGGTCCATATTGGGTCCGTTGCTGTATGCATCATACTTGTATGATATAATAGACTGTTTTAAATTTTCCTAATTTCTCATGTATGCGGACGACACTAAAATTTAGGCATATATTAAGTCTGAGGAAGATGCACACCAACTTTATTAGTGTTAATATAACAAAATGTTATCAAATAAGCTTCACTCGTAAAAGACACCAAATTGAATATCGATATAAATTAGATAACATACCTTTGAAACGCATCTACCAAACCAAAGATCTTGGTGTTATTTTTGATTCCAAGATGCTTATGTCTAATCATGTCACGATGTTTGCAAAAGCGTATAAAAATTTAGGATTTGTTCTAAGAGTGTCCCGTCCTTTCTCAGATTCTGATTGCATTAAAAATTTGTATTATTCTTATGTAAGAAGTGTTTTGGAGTATTGTTGTAATGTCTGGAATCCGCATTATTTGTCTTATATAGAGAATATTGAGCAACAATATTGACCTTAAATTATCGTACTCAACATAAAAAAGCAGTTATATGGAATCTTGCTATCACCATAACTTATTGCAGTTAAAGGACCGACGTACACTTCTACAAATTTTGTTTCTACACGACATCTGTAGTAATAAAATTGATAGTCCCGAATTGACAGTTCAATTCCTACAATTCAATGCTCCTTCGAAGCGTACCAGACATACATCCCTATTTCATGTCCCTTTAAGTAGCTTTAAATATGCTAAAAATTCTGTCATTAGTCGTACACTTAACTGCTACAACAAAAACTTTTCAACTATTGATATTTTCCACGACAGTAAAGCTTCCATAAAAAAAGAAATAATATCAATTTTAAGAAATAGCAAGTAGTATAAATCTAAAAAATACCACGTACAAACATGCCACACCTCTTTCATACACACACTCTCACACTCACTCATACACACACACACACACACACACACACACACACACACACACACACACACACACACACACACACCACAAATAAATATTTACAAAACAAAACACTAGTAGATGTACATATATGCACTGTATTTTGTAAAATGCGTAATGGCGTAATGACTACTCTTTAAAAATAACCCTGTATAATATTATCTCCACATAGTTGTAGCGGCGATACGTTAGAAGATTCGTTTTTTTTTTTTTTGTAAAGTAAGAACCTGTAATTGGCAGTAGAAAATGTAAATACTTACTAATTTTATAATGTTACAAAATGCTGTTGGTTCTGTTACAATAAATTAAAAAAAAAAAAAAGAAACAGTCCAAAAAGTTAAAGCCGAGTCAAAATAAGAAGACAAACACAAAATTACAAAATTACGCACAGTCTGCTCCCGAAACAGAAACAGAAACTTTTTTATTCAATATAGATTATGAATAATACCTATTGAAAGTCACTTTTTTCATTTACCACTGGTTCGCAAAAAAAAACTCCGTCCTGGGCGTAGACAGAGAAACCTGTAGACAAATTGACGCCTTCTTTCGCATTCGCACACGAAAAAAATAGATTTATGCATACGTCTTGCATAGAAATGAGATAGAGCGGTGTGATTGTTTGCCCCTTTCTCCGTGCCGGTTTTTTTGTTTAGCAAACTCTACAGTATATCGATTTAAGGAGTTTACAAGTTGGTTTAAGTGAGAAAAAAGTGTTTTGTGAGCTTAAGATTGGTGAATCTTGTTCAGTTCAGTTCTTAGAACAATTAAAATTTTTTATCCAAATGTGTTTAAAAGTCATAAAGTTTATTGTATAACCTAAAAATTCGTTATCGTCCTTTCTCACTCGAGGCCACGCCGATCATTAGTCTATAGGTTTCTCTGTCTACGCTCCTGGGAAGAACCAGCAAGAAAACCAACGATACTAGTTTTTTTATTAAAAATAAGAGCTTACAATCATACGTGTTACAATTAACAATACAAAATAAATTACAAACAGCTTGGTAGCGATCACCCTTCCCAGGGTTTATTATCATCCATAAATTCCTTAATATTAAAATAACCCTTTTTATACAAACTTAGTTTAATAAAGTTTTTAAAGTTTATGTACTTACGTCAAATTTTGTATATTTCTGGGATTTTGTTGTAAAAGCGTATACACCGCCCCAAGAATGAATTACTAACTCTGTGGAGTCGAGTAACTGGTACCGAAATGGCGGAATATTGAAATTATGTATTTAAATTTTTTTTTAAATTATTTTATCACGGCCTTGTATACGAGTTTTTTTTGCCTACACAATTTTTTTTTACAAAGTAAAAATATAAACTTGTTTTATTCATGATTCATGTAATTTAAGGAATTTTGAAAAAAAAAAATTAAAGTAAACAAATAATACTTTAAAAAAAATTAATGATTCGATTATTTGAAAATGTTTACCGATTACTTGAATATTTTGCCGATCATTCGCATAACAATGGGTTTTAATCATGCAAACACTACGGTAATATACATAGCGACATATCATTAAAACGACGTCAAGTAAAAAATTAATACTGGTTATTTTTTAATATTTTATTTTGTTTGAAAAATTCAAGTTTAAATTAGTGATAAAAAAACTATATACGTTGTAATGAAATATAAATAACTTTATAATTCTTCGGATTTGCGTAAAAGGTTATTTTAAATCGTCTGCGTACGCTGGTGAAAAGTTATTGCGGATTGATTAATGTGAAACGTCAAAAGGTATTTATTAGATTTGGTTGACTATAGATTTAGTACAATTTTGCACAAGGAAAGCCGAAGATCTACGTACTTTTTTATTGAGTGAAATGAAGCGAATGAAGAAGTTAGGGTCGAAGAAACTGAATAAAACACATGTTTTTTTTTAATTCAATTATTCATTATCATCAGGCAAATTAAATTAATACATTTTTTTAAATAAAATATTGTTAAAATGTTATTATTTAGTTTGATTGTGTTCCTATATAGGTTCGCGGCTTTATTTTTAAGCCACTTTTCGTAAAAAGTAAGCCTGTTAGCGTGTTGGTGGAAAGTTTGTTTCTGACGTTAGTTTTCATCAGATTGATTGCAGAAAACAGATGCTCAACATTTACACTGCTATGTGGCAATGTTAATTTTTGTGCAAATTGGGTCAATATGGGAAACATTTGCGACGAATCGCCTTTTTTATTTTTGAAATATTCGAGACGTTTCGTTTTACACACTCACATGTGTCTCAGCACAGCTCTATGGAGTGCACACTGTCTTATTGTGAGGTGAGGCTATTATAATACGTTAATATGAAACGGAATGTTCTTTGAGTTTTTTCTCGAATACTGGAAATGATGCCCTTTCAGCCTAATGAGTTATGTTATTTGGAAAATTTGTTAAATTTGATAAAAATACGTAGATTCTGGGGCTGGAGTTCGTAGGTTTGCAGGAAAGACTAAAATACGTAGATCTACGTAAAATGACGTAGAGTTTGCAACTTTGAGCATAGAGTAGAGCAGCGTGACCAGATTAGGTATATTCACTTAACATCGATATATCTACCTTATTCGATGTTTTGACAAATATTTATTGTATTCGATATATTGATATATTTATTTATAGAGACATCGATAATTTGCTTTTTTTTATTTTTTTAGTCGAAACGAGGCCACGCGTAATATGACACTCCCGTTCGCTCGCGATCTTTTTGGCGGGAAAATTTGCAAATTAGCAAATTTTTTGCTATATTGCAAATT